AAGTCCAGGATGTAAATGGGTGGAACTTATTCCTGGTTGTTACGAAGTATAGTAGAACAATGATCCCACATAATTTCGAAAAAGTCTAAATTTTTTGGTACAAGCTGACTCCCATGACTTATTCTATGCGGATTCTCCAACAAAGTCCAGAACTACAGAAGGTGGCACTAGATCTGGTTATGCGAAGTACAGTAGCATAATTACCCTTCATAAATCCGCAGTACACATTCTTATTTCCTTGGGTTACAAAGGCTAATCTGACTGCGTGTCCTGATGATACGAGGATGCAAATAATATATCATATGATCATATGATCATATGATGATTATTATGAGGATTATAGGTCCCAGGGAGGGCTCGCAGTGCTCTGGGACTTGTTAAAATTGTCGCATCGTTGTCAAGGAGAATGTTTAAAGACTAGTGAGTGACGTAATCCAAAAAAGGACACCAATTTTCACACCCCGGAGATACAACTACAACTACAACCATCACCATAACTCACTGCACTAGTCTTTATTTTAAAACTTCTCACTTGTCTAAAGTCTCTGATGTCTAACTCCACCTACCCGTGTGAGAGATCCACATGAAGATCCTACGGTTCATAAGGAGTTGATTATTGGATGTTGGGTCAGAAGGAAAGTTTTAATCAAATCTGAAACCAAGGTTGGGTGGTTGATTATCATTTTTGGACGTTTTGGGTTGGCGATAAGAGGTGGTGGAGATGGAGTTGCTCAAGTGAAGGTTGTATAAGGTTGATTATGATATCATTATTTATCTTTGCTTAATATTACTGTCTATATGGTGGCGGTGGATTTGAAACTATGGGTGTAGGATAATACCTGTTACCAAATTCATCATCAACTTAACCACCATCATCTGGTTCGCCAACATCAAGAATGCCAGCTCATAATACAACGTGGGTGTTGTCCAGATACGACCCTTCCGATAATAATATCAGATTTGTTATTTGGCATTTATTATTTTACTCTATAGTAGATTAAAACTTTAAAATTTCATATATGCATGGTCTTGGTATTATTTAATTACCTGGGTGATGCAATCATATAAATATCTCAAATTCGTTGCATAATCGGCATGATACAATACTGAAAAAGATAAGTAATGTTTTATTTATTTTGATTTAACCAAGAGAAAAATATATAATGATTTTAATTATATATTCATGAGAGTATACAGTAATAGAAGATAAAAAACGATCAGAGCAATTAATTGCAAGAGAAGCTACCGGTGAGCATCAACTATCTTTGGTCGCTCTAATGTATGTTTAATTATTATTTTAATTATATCTTTTATGCCATCCGATTTTTATTCTTTTCTTTATTGATTCTCTATTGTTTTCCGATACAGTCGACGGATCTTGTTCTATGATTGACCGAGAATCAATAATCCAAGAAGGAATTGTTGTGATAGAAAACGTTTACTTGAATATTAGCAACAAAGCAGAAAAAGGTATGAACAGAGACGTTTAATCGAGTCGTAGGATTTATAATAACAACGTTAACATTATTTCATTTTCCGATTTATTTATAGTGAAATTAATGTTCGAAAGAGTGAGTGATGACAATAAAACAATAGATTATGAGGATCAAACTGAATAGGTATTTATTTATTAGCAAATAGTTTTGTGTACGATTTGATTATTTCTCAAGTCGAAACGTGATATTATTTTCTTTTACTCAAGAAAAGTTGAATCGTTTATATAATTAGAGGACAACATTAGAGGCTGGGTCTACTTTATCAAACTTTGACGATATTGACGACTAAGTCTACCATTGATTGTACTTCATCAACTTGGTTTGTATAGAATTCTATTCCGTAGCAATACAATAAAGATCAATATTTTCAGGTAACAACACTATGGTAAAGGGATTTTAGAAAAAAAAAATTTTTAATTATAATAAAAATATTTTATTTAATTGAAAAACTCTATTTTTGTTATTTCTTTAGTAGTCAATTTTTCATCACGTTATATTTATCTACAATTCAAATGCACCGCGCGAATCAATTTCATTGCTCCTAAATGATAAATTTCTATTTACCATATAGGACATGGCGTTGGTTGGCATTATTGAGAGAATATCAAATGAAAAGGAAATCATCATTATCACCGTTGGCTTTTCCTGTTGATTTTGTTGTTGTTTATCAATAAAAGAAGGTTCAAATTCATTGCGGGACAATTTCTTAGTAATTGAAATAACATATCAGGTTTCATCAAAGGTGATAGCACATCAAATATTGTCAATGTGATATTTAAACTAAGTCTTTGGCTGATTAACAAGTTGTCACAATAATGGCGTAGTTGATTATTAGATTAAATTGTTTAAGGATATTATAATTAATACTTTTGTGGTTGAACTATTTTGTGAATATTCACCAAATGACTGATTGAATTGCTACGTTGGATATTTTTTTATTATATATATACACCTTCCGGATAGCCTAGAAAAATTGGTACTTTTATTTGACAAATTCGATATGTTCCATATTCACCATAATCATCATTAAAGTAATTCCGGATAAAACTATCTTTAGGCCAACTTGGATGTGATTCTAATGAAGGGCTCAGATTTATTTATGGATTATCAATATATAATATATTATTATTATCTGAAGGAATTTAAATATTACTAATACTCGAAAGTATTACGAATCGACAGAAACCAATTTCAAATATTTCGAATTTGTATATTTTAATATAATCACTGACTGCACGATTTCGTAGAGTTAAAATGTCATTGCATAGTAATAGGGGTGGGTAGATGAGTTTATTACGAGCCGGATTTGTTTAAGATGCAACCATGTTCTTTCGTTTGTTATATTTATTATTTTTTATTATTTGTAGATTATGGTGACACTAAAAAAATTGACTGGGGTCAGTGACCTCGGAGGCTTTGTTATCTTTGTTACATTTTTAATTTTTGGTAAATATTTTTCCATGTTTAAATAAGGGGGAGTAAATAGTTTAATATTTAATATTAATAATTTGTTTCAATGAATACATACAGTTTAATAAATGACTGTTTCACACACATTTCCTTTTTTTTTCTCTTTTCTTACTATATCCTTTCTCACTTCTATTCTCTTCCTTTATTAATTAATAACTAATTAAATAATTTTTGTAATTTTATATAACCCAAATAAAGAAACGAATAAGGTTTCTCTTTATGCATATCAATCATTCTACTGCATAAATCAATTTAATATATATATATATAATTTTAGATATTTTCTAATATTTTTTTTTAATTGACTATTTTTATATTTTTCTTACTTTCTAACCGAAAAAAAGTATGGCAGCAGTCGAGAAAAATTTATCAATTGCTCAATTATCAAAAATACCAACTTCTTTAAATAATAATAATAATAATAAACCTGGAAATGGTGCGAATACAATCAATAAACCAACAAATCTCAAATTACCAAATAGTAATTATTTAAAATATCAAGAACCATTAAAACTAGAACAATCAAAACAACAACCATTAAAGCAACAACCATTAAAACAACAACCACAACAACCACAACAACAGAAACAAAAAATCGAATCATCATTACCATTAAAAATAACAACAATTTCATCGACAAAACCTACATCGTTAATACCAAATCATACAAAAACATTATCTTATTCATCGTCATCATCACAAAAAACAATTCCTACCACTAACGCCACTACCACCACTAATATTATTGACGCTAATGTCACAAAATCTACAAATTCAAATTTAATTAAACCAAAACCCAAGAATATCTTCAATTTCAAAGATAATAATAATACTAGCACTTTTTCATCATCACTATCATCTCCTCCTTCTTCTTCTCCTTCTTCTCCTTCTTCCGCCACATCTTCTTCATCCGATAATAATAATGCAACAGGAAAATCTTCTTCTCTTGTATCACTAACAAAGAAATCAAAATATTCTAATGTTAAATCACGTGTCGGTTCATTAGACAATATTAAACATGTACCAAAACAGGCTGACAACAAAATCTTTGACGAGAAACCAAACTTTTCAAATATCAAACCACGTATCGGTTCATTGGACAATATCACACACACACCAAAATCAGGAGACGTAAAAATTTTCGACGAGAAAGTCGACTTCACAAATGTCAAGCCACGCATCGGTTCATTGGACAATGTCACACATACACCAAAATCAGGAGGCGTAAAAATTTTCGACGAGAAAGTCGACTTCACAAATGTCAAGCCACGCATCGGTTCATTGGACAATGTCACACATA